AAATCAGGGAGGGGGGAAAAGAGAAACTGTAAAAAAGCTTTTGTGTAAATATACCCAGGTCTGTCAACTCCTGGTTGATAAGTGAACAGAAGAAGCAGTTATGAATTCTCATCTGTCACTGCTGGGGGAAACAGATGTCCTCAGAGCTGTACTTTCCTTGGCTGACTTTGGAAAAGCTTTGTTCACTTTGGCCAATTTCTCAACAGAACTCCTGTTGGGGAAAAGCATGACAAACCAAGGAGACGTCTAATAATTAGAGGGCTCGGGCTGGAATTTGCAGCTCCCATACCAAAGAGAAAAGTGGACACTGAAGGGCCGAATTCAAAAGGGGCTAAACATAGATGCCAGTCCATTTGACATGTACTACTGCAGGAGAGATTTCAGGCAGACCAGTTTAGTACTAGCAAAATAGATCGTAATGGCAAAAATGTTAGTTTTAGCTATGGTGTGATCATCTCCTGGTGGTCCTGCTATTGGTTGTTTTCCTCCAGGTAGCTCTCAAGACTGAAGTGACCAGAAACGGCTTAATACTCAGCAGCTTGGGGGATCTGAAAAATACAGCAGCTCAAGATTTTCCTTGTATGATGGCCAAAAATATCAGTAATACAACTGCCTGTCTGGTACTTAAGACAAGGCTCATAAACATGCGCTTTCCTCTCACAGGTACATCTCCACCAGAGAGGAACAAGTTCACTTCTCAGCCCTGCAAAGACATGTAGATAAACATTTATTGGTGTCCGTGCATCTGTGCACATCCCCAGCCCCTCCTGTGTCTCTTCACTTGCCACAATCCCAATTAGCTGCTCACTTACCACCTCACTTGGCTGCGTTCCTACACCTTTTCAGCAGCAGACTCCTTTAAACTGCCCTTGCTAAATCCAGAATCACTAATAGGATAAGTTCCTGAAGTCCAACTATGTGAGCTTTCAGATGAGCTGGCCTTTCAGTTAGGGATGTGAAAGTGTAAACGTGTACACAGTTAACCTAGATTATATCTGACACTTTACATCCAGTCTTTAAAGGCAGAGCTGACTAGAATCAATTGAGAGTCCTTGTCTTGTCTCAGTGATTGCTTGAGCAAAAATCATTGTTAAAATCTTGTCTAGACTGATCTTGGACTCAACATGGAGGCAATATGTTGAAGAGCAGTGCAAAGGAGGCAATGGTGGTGAGGTACCATATTACCTAGTGAAATCATTGGTGCTGAAATCACTAAGCCCTGGAATTTGACCACAGAACCGACACTTTCTTAACAAAGACTCCATTTTTGCTATTTAAAAAGTAAATCAATGTAACAGAAAACTGCAAAGCCCTCTGGTAACTTTTTAAAAATCAAACTTTAAACTTTATTGAAAAAAACTGGATAGCTTGCAACTGAAAATATTTGACCTACACTTAAGGCAACTGATTTAATTTAGTGTAAAATTTTGCATAATAAAGGATGGCATTTGTTTTTGAAAATGTTCTACTACATTTTGATCAGATCTACTTCTGATGTGATATGTGTGTGTGGTTGTGGGGTTTTTTTTTTTTTTTTGCTCAACAAAAATTGAAAAAAACTGGATAGCTTGCAACTGAAAATATTTGACCTACACTTAAGGCAACTGATTTAATTTAGTGTAAAATTTTGCATAATAAAGGATGGCATTTGTTTTTGAAAATGTTCTACTACATTTTGATCAGATCTACTTCTGATGTGATATGTGTGTGTGGTTGTGGGGTTTTTTTTTTTTTTTTGCTCAACAAAAAAATCCTGGTGGGGGTGGGGGGGCCCCCGCCAAAGTGGTTCGAATTGGGCCCCACACTTCCTAAAGGCAGCCCTGCGTGGAGGTTGCCGGAGTCAGGATTGGGGGTTGAAGAGGGGCTGAAGGCAGGAGGTTGCGGAAGTGGGTGGGGTGGAAAAATCAGGGTTGAGAAGGAGGAGAGGCTCAGGGCAGGGGTGCAGGAGTCAGGGCAGAAGGTTGGGAGGGAGGGAGAGAGAGAGATCAGTGGAATGGGTGGGGGCTCAGGGCAGGAAGTGAGGATGGCTGCAAGCTTCTCCCTGGAGATGGCCATGCACCCCACCCACTAGCTTCTCTCCAAGAAAGGGGGAGGGGGGTTAAACACCCCACCCACTGACTTCCCCCAGGGCTGGATTGGTAGGAGGGGGGCATACACCCCACTCAATAGCACTCCCCAGGCCTGGACATGGGGGGTGTGCAGGCCTCCCATTGGCACTCACTAGTCTTGATCCAGGGATGAAGATAGAGCCAGCCCAGGGATGGGGGGCTGCACAGATCTCCTGCCAGCACTCCCTGGGCCCAGCTCAGGGCAAGCCAGTGTGGCAGGTGTTGCCAGCCAGTGGCTGCTCACTGAGACACTTGCTTCCTCCCACTCCCGTGGTCATTCTTCTTCCCATGCTTGCTGCTCCCCTGTGGGTGAGTTATAAGTTACTGTCCCTGCTCTCACTCCCTTCCCTTTCCATTTGATACGAAGCCATCACTTTCCAGGCACATCCAAATCTTGACCTTGCTTTAAGTTAGGAGAAGAGGAAGCTGCATAGCAAGTTTGGCGTTCCTGGCTCTTTCTGTTTAGGGGAAGTTCTTGAACAAACAAATGGACTCACAGATGGACCAGCACACATTTCAAAAATATACAGATTTTCTTCTTTTGATCTCAGTTATACACTCAAGTGAGGAGCAATTTTATCCAAGCCTCCTCACATCAGAGGTCCCCCAGCTCTGCCATTTTGCAGGGGAGGAGAGTGTAATTTGACATAGAAACACAGTGTGATATAGGCAGCATGATGTACAAATGAAATAGGATTTTGCTAACCTAAAAACTTGACCATGTCTTTTTTCTCCCCTTTTACCATTTCCTGGTTTTCTTCCATCACTCTCTCCATCTCCCTTTTTTGATTTTCTCTTGCTATCTTCTTGTCTCTCTCTAGTCTCTTATTTTCTCCCTATGCTTAAGCAAAAGGCATAAAAAAGCAATATTTCATTCAATTTTGTGTCTTCATTCTATATTGCCCATTAGTCTGCTTTTCTTTGATGTAATTTTTTTGCTCTCACCTGAGGCCTTGCCTACACTGGCATGTATTGTTCCCAAAACCTGCCTTTTGGTGACAAAAAACAGTGAGAGCATTTACACTACAATGTGACTTTTGTCAGGGAAAAATGCCCAGTTGGGCAATAAAAAGCTTCGAGCCCTGTGAGAGTCTTTTGTCTTTTCCTCTCCCTTTACTATCAACAAAGAGCCCGTGTGGACACTGTTGTTTGTTTTGTCGAGAGAACTGGCTTCTGCTAGTATCCCACAATGCCGGTCCTGATGGCTGTGCTCAGTGTTTTGTGATTTCTGCAGCCCTGCAGGCATGCACCCCTCCCCTTTCAAGGCTCCAGGAAGCATCTGACAGCTGAGTTCGTTCCCCAAAAGGAATAGCTAACAGAGCAAATCACTGTGAAAGCTCCTTCCTCTTCTGCCCTGCCAGGAACACAGTGGCAAGCAAACTGCTGCTACAGAGAGAGGGGGACAGATTGCTGTGGTGCTTTGACATTCCTCAGCATGGAGAGCTCACAAAGCTACTCCTGCCACTCCAAGCAGCTGAAAATGTTGTGGGAGAACTCGGAGAGATCCCAAGAAGTACAGGGATCAGCTCTGCCTTCCCACAATACTGCACTGTAGGATGCTTACCCACGTTGCTTTGCTCAATCTATTGACGGGAGCAGATAGAGCCTTAATCTTGCCTCCCTTCAAAACCAATTCACAGTGAGGTCATTTCCCCTATGAATTTAGAGGATCTAGGTAGTAGAGGCAGCAAATTCAGACCTGTCTTGCCTTTAGCCATATGGAAGCTACTATAAAACCTTAGGAAAGGCAGAAACGCATCTGTGGAAGAAGGGTTGTTTCAAGGTGACCAAATGACATTATTTCCATTTCTATTTATATTTTAAAGCCTAGACAAGGACAGAGCCATCTCCCCAAGTTAAAATTATGCTCTCACACCATTTACTAAGCAAATATATTGCACAGACTTAAAAACAAATTTGATAAAAAGCTCCCTAGTATCTTTCATTGAATCATAAGACTGGAATCATCAAATCAAGTTGCCTGCTACTGCAGACAACCCTGTCATAAGCCCATTCATACATGTATCAAGCTCCATCATAAACCAGTTTGGTTGATTGTCCCCGTTACTCCTACTGAAGGTTAGAAACCTTCTTTTCATTTCTAGCCCAAATTTATTCACGGCCAGCTTATACCCATACGTTCTTGTGCTAACTTTGTCCTTTGGCTTAAACAGATCTTCATCCTCCTTGGTGCTTGTCCCTCAATGCTTTTAGAAAATAATCCTACCTCCTCTCAGCCTTCATTTTGCAGAGTTAAAAGAAGTCAAGCTTTCTGAATCTCCTCTCATAAGACTGGTCAAGGAAATGAAAACCTTTCAAGTAGGCCTCTCTGCAGCTATTCCAGCTGAAGTTCCTGCCTCACTTCTACCTGGCTTTTAATCCCAAACACCAGATTCTGGCTACTCCGTGGTCTAGGACAAAAGCTTATGCTTTTCAGTCCCACTTACTAGAACTTTCTGATTCATGGCTTGTCAGTATTGACAGGCCTGGCCAAAGTGTTCACAGGGCCCAAGGCAACACACTGTGTTTGTCTGAGCCACACAGCCGCACAGCTCCCAGTCAGGGCAGCGAGTGAGCAGCTGGGTACACGGAGCCAAGCAGTGTGGGGCCCTGAGTGCGTGAGGCCATGGAGACCTGAATGCACGGGGCCCAAGGCAGCCGCCTCTCTCGCCTTGCCCAAAGGCCATGCCTGAGTACTGAAGCTTTTTAGCCATGGATGAGGCAAGAAATGGGCCTGTTTCCTGCATGCAATTTTTATACACTGGCTCAAAGGAACCTCTTCTGAGTATCAGAAGATGGTTCAGTCTTCTTGGCTTATTCAGTTACTGGCCAAGAATGGTCTGATGTGAATATCCCCCTCACGGTGGCATTATGAAACACACTGGTTCTTACCTCTAGACAGATAACCGATCCTTGATGTTCTTTGAACACTTTCAACTGCTCTCCAGTTACAATATTCCATGTTCGGATGGTGTAATCAGTGCTTCCAGAAAACAGCTCTCTATTCCGAGCATCGAGTATAAGGCATAAAACAGCCCCAGTGTGTCCTAGAAGAGTCTGGTAGCAACGCCCACTGGACACCCACCAGACCTTAACAGTGCAGTCAGTGCTTCCCGTCACCAAGAAGTCTCTGCTCAGTTTCTCCTGCTCCTCCTCTGACTCATCAAGAACATCCCTGGAGGAGTAGTGAGCCAGAGTCAGAACACAGTTCCGATGGCCCCGGAATTCCTGGATTTGCTTCTCCTTGTCCACACTCCAGCACCGTGCTGTTCTGTCATAGGAGCCACTAAATAAATAGTCTTTGGCAACCAGGATCCTGTTAAACACAAACAACTAGAATAGACCTTGTTTTATGTATGGATGCTGAGCCTTTTCATTGCTGCACCCTGGACTGCATGCAAGGTCCTATACCAAGAGTGCAATGAAGTACTAGCAGCAACTGTCCCTCAAATAACTATCCAACCATCAGATACACTAACAACATCAGCATGAGCGCCTCACTGCCACACCCAGGGACATGGCATAGTCCTTCAGAGCCTTATGCAGTTACAAGTGAAAATAGACACAGAGCAGAACATTACTCCATTCAGGATTTACCAATGCTTTGGCCTTTGGAATTTGATTCTCTGCTTCTTAATACTTCCCTTTCAGTTTAGCACATCATGTTGTTAGCAAGCAACGCCAATTCCCCATCGAGCCTGCAGGAAGTGACTAGATTTGTGATACACTGACAATGGAATATTCCCAGGATCATAAGACTTGCCAGACCTGATCAGTGGTCTCTCTAATCTGCTATCCTTTCTTCAACAATTGCTAATACCAGGTGCTTCAGAAGAAGGTAGAAAAAAATCCCATAGTGGACAGTTACATATGGAAAAATTCGCCCATACAGGAAATTTCTTCCTACTCGCAATGGATTAGGATTATTTATACTCCGAAGAATGAGAGTTTATTCCACCTACAATTTTTATCCTCACTTAATTGCTTATGTATTCATTACTTATATGACTTGTATTTTAAAAAACTATCATAAAAAGAATGTTAAAATTGCACATATGTGCTCTCGGATGTTAGGAGATGCCAGAATTAAAGGTTGCTTGTGCAGCTTTAATTTGACCTTTGTGCATGCATATGCATTATACATAATCACATGCTAACCTTCCCCTCACTCTCCTCCATCCCCCCAAAAAAACAAAACAAGACAAAACAAAATCTGCTTAATCCTTTTGAAGTCATGTAACTTATTTAGGCACCTCAATAGACTAATCTGGGGCATCCCTTAAAAAAACCTTGACCACCAGCACTACCATGTGTTATTCATTAGTTGTCAGTTTCTTTTTAAAACATATTATTTAGGAGCTCATTTTTCATTATGGCTATTTAGTTGTCCAAATGCAGGCCTAAGTAGATAGCCAACAATAATAGCAATTAAACTAATCGAACATTTAGTTTCCAGGAACTTGGAACCACAAATCATGGTTTCTAAAACTAATTATCACACAATTCTCAGACAAATAGGCAGATTAAAAACTACATTTAAAATAAATTCCTAGCCAAGGATCTTACAAAAAGAAGGCAATCATTATCCCAGTTTTACAGATAGAGGCCACAGCTACATTAAAAAGCCATACACAAAAGCTACACTCTGTAAATTCTCTCATGTAGCCACTCAAAGCCAACTGGAGAAAGTTTGCCCAATGGCTTAGCTATTTCAGCCCCCACAAGCAGCTGTACCTATGTTGGCAGTGCTGTTCACACTGGCACTTATATCAGTGTAATTTACATCACGCAGGAGTTGATTTTTTCACACCCCCGACTCACAAATTATGCTGACAAAAGCAATAGTATATACCTAACCTCTCTGTGCTTCAGTTTCTCTGGCTACATATCTTCCTTAAAGTCTCAAAGGGAGTCAGTGACAGATGTAGAAGCAGACACCCAGTCCAGGACTTCATCACCTGGACTACAGAAGATCTGATCAAAGAACAGCATGCAGCCCATGACGTTATACACTACAGTTCATAGTACTTTCACCATAATGAGGAAAAGCAGGTGGTTCACTTAGATCAAGAACCCAAATGTCCGAATTAAAGATGGGGCAGAATGGGGGGCTTCTTCTAACTGCCTTCTTTTACGTAAATTAGAGATGGGCCTTGGCCACCTGTCAAACTGTGAAGGCAGCCATCTAAAATGGGCAATGATTGGGTGTCCCTATAATTCAAGATGTTATGAAAACTGGCTGACCCAGTATTTTTCACCCTCATTCCTATCTGTTTACAGATTCTGTTACATATTTAGTTTATCTCCCCTTCAAAACGAACACTTCAATTGTTCTATTTCAAAAATAAATAAATAAATATATTCCAGCAGCCATGAGAAATCCTCATGGATTTCCAGGGAAGCTGGGGAAATATGCAAGTTCAGAAAGAAGTCACAGTACAGTTTTAAACTTAGTTTAACAATAAGAAATAAATCAAACAGAACCATGGCGTTTTTGCTAACAAGAATGGCTGACATGCTACTTTTAAAATCTATGCATGTCAGGCATCTGCTTTCAACTGAGCAATTTCTTCTACAATTCCATTCCCAGGGGCAGATTCAGTTCCCATTGCTGTGAACCTTTTTGCTCTTCTCCCATCTCGTCTCTAGTTGTGCCAGCATTGTTGTTAAGATAATTAATTATCATAGCATAGAACATGTGTAACAGAGAATCAAAGATTTCCACAACCCATTTAGTTGTGCAGGGGAGATTACTGGTAAAATGACAATGTATCTAGGAGAAAGACAAGGTGGGTGAGGAAATATCTATTGTTGGACTAACTTCAGCTGAAGAGAGAGAAAGAAGCTTTCAAGAATACTTTGCTCTTCCTCAGGTCCAACAAAAGACGTTACCTCACCCACCTTGTGTCTCTGACATCCTGGGACCCACAAGGCTACAACAGTTCTGCATACAACGTATCTGGTGTCAAGTTACAGAATCACAGTGAAATGATAAAAGAAGAATTTGTAGTACCAACCTGTTGACAATTGATGTGTGCCCTCGGTAAATAGCCAGACACTGGCCTGTCATCACATCCCACTTCCTAATTGTATGATCTGCGCTACATGTGAATGCAACCTCATTTTCCAAGTGGCAAAAGGTGATATAGCTTTCATGTCCTAGGAACAAGAAGGGAGATAAAAAAATATTCAGAATATTGCGAACAGAACAGATTAAGCAAGCTTCAACATGCGCACTTTAGTATAATTAAAAAAAAAAAACTAGTCTGAAATTGGCCTGATTCAAAACTCCAGAGCTTAATGCTTTTGAAGCTGTAGTTTTAAAAATCCACAATTGAGTTCATCACAAGCAGGAGCTGATGGCACTTTTGATTTTAAAATCACGAACTCCATCTGTGTTTTACGTTATAAGGAATAAATGGAATAGACATGGGTGTTGGCACTAGGGATGCTGGGTGTCCTCCTGCACCCCTGGTGTGAAGTAGTAATGACAATCCAAATACAGTTTCTACATTCTTACAGGGAGGTTTAGGTTGGACATTAGGAAAAAGTTCCTAACTGTCAAGGTAGTCAAACACTGGAATAAATTGCCCAAGGAGGTTTTGGAATCCCCATCTCTGGAGATATTTAAGAGTAGGTTAGATAAATGTCTATCAGAGATAGTCTAGACAGTATTTGGTACTGCCATGAGGGCAGGGGACTGGACTCGATGACCTCTCGAGGTCCCTTCCAGTTCTAGTATTCTGTGATTCAGCAAGCCCATTATAAAATTGTTCCAGGACCACTGAACAGAGGTATGGTGGGCCATTTCAAGGATTACTGTCACCCTGCTTAAGGCCCATCAATGAGCTTCTTGTTGTTTTTAAGGGATATTGTGGAATGAATAAGAGAGAGAGAGAAGCTGTCATCCTTGGTGTAACTCAGCTGAAATCAATTGAATTCAAACAAGCAATTAATTTGGTTCACTTTATAAATACATGTCTTTTCTCTTCTCTTTTTTAAATTTTGGTTAAAAAAGTGTATTTCAGCATTACCTTCTGGTTTTTTAGACAACCAGCAGTACCAGGCTAGTGCAAGAAACCCTGAAATAGAGTTGACTGATAAATTAGGTTAATTGGAAAGTTTAGTTAATAGTCCAATGAGTGAAATGCAAATAACTAAAAGAACATGAGTGATGAAAAGTTAGCTGTATTTCTCTACCTCCTACCTACCCACCTTCCTGTTTTATCCAATAACAGGAAGTAATATTTACTATGTTTTAATGGTATTGATATTTAGCAAATAAAGTAGAGAGAAAGAATAAAGGCATTGTCATTACTATTTATACAGTGCCCAGAATTTACTAGGGCTTTATAGTCATATTAAAAATATACTGTAAAGAATTTACCCTCAAACAAAAGTGAGGGAATAGAGGCAAGAAGAACAAGCACTGCAACATTTAGATTGAGTTACTTTATTGTACCATTTAGTATTTTTTACTGGGACTCATGAGTTTTAGATTCAATTCCCACCAGCTCTGCCATAGCCTTCCAATTTGGCCTGGGTTCCCCATCTGTAAAATATGAGCATAATACTTTCTCCCTTCCGCTGTTTCATGTTATCTGTTTAGACTGCGGTTCTATTGTGCCAGGCACTGTACAGCCACTTAGTAAGAGCTGTTGCCCCAAGAGTCAGCACTCTCAGCTGGGGCCTCTAGTGATTAATTAATACAAGTGATGAATAATATTATTCTAGGTAGCTTTGGGGTTTGAGGTTTTTTGCCAGGGAGAGGTAAAACATGACAAGCAGCAGATGTGG